TTTAAAGATTATTTGATTCTTGGTTGATTTGTGGATGCCTTATGGTGTTAAAACTTTGAATCTGAATGACATCCATGTTTGTCAGGTTTACTTTTTTAATGCTTGACTGTAGGCCAAACAAAATGGCCAGATACTTTTCATCTTGGATATAAAGTTGTATATAATATACTCTTCCTACCAGTAAACTGGCATAGATACTAGAGTGGTAGTTTGACTAATTTAAATAAGGGTTAAACCATGTATAATAATACACTTACTTTCTTTTGATATTCTTTTAGGTTACCCATGCAGTTGTTACTGTACCAGCCTATTTTAATGATGCCCAGCGGCAAGCAACCAAAGATGCTGGAACTATTGCTGGCCTGAATGTTATGAGGATCATCAATGAGCCGTAAGTATCAAATTCAAGGATATGGCATATTTGCCAATAGGGGAAACTTGAACCTGACTAAGCATTTTCCCCCTTTTTCATTCAAACAGTACAGCAGCTGCTATTGCTTATGGCCTGGATAAGAGGGAGGGAGAGAAGAACATCCTAGTGTTTGATTTGGGTGGTGGAACCTTCGATGTGTCTCTTCTCACCATTGACAATGGTGTCTTCGAAGTCGTGGCCACTAATGGAGATACTCATCTGGGTGGAGAAGACTTTGACCAGCGTGTTATGGAACACTTCATCAAGCTGTACAAAAAGAAGACTGGCAAAGATGTTAGGAAAGACAACAGAGCTGTGCAGAAACTCCGGCGTGAAGTAGAAAAGGCCAAGCGGGCCCTGTCTTCTCAACATCAAGCAAGAATTGAAATTGAGTCCTTCTATGAAGGAGAAGACTTTTCTGAAACCTTGACTCGGGCCAAATTTGAAGAGCTAAACATGGTGTGTTCCTTGTTTTCTGCTTTGCTAATTAGATGTATTTAGCCTCTCTGAATTTAAGATAATGTGTCCAATATCTAGGTATAACAGGCATCACAATAACCATGTCTCTTATTTTAGGACCTGTTCCGGTCTACCATGAAGCCTGTTCAGAAAGTACTGGAGGATTCTGACTTGAAGAAGTCTGATATTGATGAGATTGTTCTTGTTGGTGGCTCTACTCGAATTCCAAAGATTCAGCAACTTGTTAAAGAGTTTTTCAATGGCAAGGAGCCATCCCGTGGCATAAACCCAGATGAAGCTGTTGCATATGGTGCTGCTGTCCAGGCTGGTGTACTCTCTGGTGATCAAGATACAGGTAGGTTACAAAGCTTTGGTAGTTTGATAGGAAGAATATAATTAGCAATTGCTTTATAAAACAACAGAAGTGTAAGCCACAAATTTACCCAGCTAGTAAAGGTATAGTGAAGACAAGTCCTAGTGCAGTCTTAAGATTCTTAGCAACAACTGTGTAATTCATTTATCCTAAATTGTTTATGCCTAGAACCTAAACAAATGACAAAACAGAAAAATAAATTTTTAAAAGTTTGTGGAGAGATTGCTTGTAGTGTTCTTGAATCAGAACTTACCTTGATTAATTTACCTTTGCAGGTGACCTAGTACTGCTTGATGTATGTCCCCTGACACTTGGTATTGAAACTGTGGGAGGTGTCATGACCAAACTGATACCAAGGAACACTGTGGTACCCACTAAGAAGTCTCAGATCTTTTCTACAGCTTCTGATAATCAACCTACTGTTACAATCAAGGTCTATGAAGGTAATTACTTACATTTGTTACTATTGTGGTGTGCTTTAAAAGAATGTGACTCTGTTAAATATACACTATAAAAATGGCTAGGTAAAGGAGAAGCTGCTGTTTTCAAGATGGGGGAGGAGGTCCTTAATTTGATGCTGAGTGTCATATATTCAGTACTTATTTAGCACTCTTTCCCATTAGAAATAACTTCTGAGCTGGCTTCTAGAATATAAGAACAAAAGCGAGTTTTCACTCGAAAACAGGTGAAATTTAGTTAAGGGTTAGTAATAGTGTCACCCAGTTGCTGTCTTCAGTAGACCAGTAAAACTTTTGGTTTGAAGTGCCCTTGCCCCATTATGTGTTCTAATAGACTGAAATGTAGGGATCCAGAATTGTCAGTAACAAGTTTTTCTGTGTGTAACTTCTAGGTGAACGACCCCTGACAAAAGACAACCACCTTCTGGGTACATTTGATCTCACTGGAATTCCTCCTGCTCCCCGTGGGGTCCCCCAGATTGAAGTCACTTTTGAGATAGATGTGAATGGTATTCTTCGGGTGACAGCTGAAGACAAGGGTACAGGGAACAAAAATAAGATCACAATTACCAATGATCAAAATCGCTTGACACCTGAAGAAATCGAAAGGATGGTTAATGATGCTGAGAAGTTTGCTGAGGAAGACAAAAGACTGAAGGAGCGCATTGATACCAGGAATGAGTTGGAAAGCTATGCCTATTCTCTAAAGAATCAGATTGGAGATAAAGAAAAGTTGGGAGGCAAACTTTCCTCTGAAGATAAGGAGACCATGGAAAAAGCTGTAGAGGAAAAAATTGAATGGCTGGAAAGCCACCAAGATGCTGACATTGAAGACTTCAAAGCTAAAAAGAAGGAACTAGAAGAAATTGTTCAGCCAATTATCAGCAAACTCTATGGAAGTGCAGGCCCTCCCCCGACTGGTGAAGAGGATACATCAGAAAGAGACGAGTTGTAGACACTGATCTGCTAGTGCTGTAATATTGTAAATACTGGACTCAGGAACTTTCGTTAGGAGAAAATTGAGAGAACTTAAGTCTCGAATGTAATTGGAATCTTCACCTCAGAGTGGAGTTGAAAATGCTATAGCCCAAGTGGCTGTTTACTGCTTTTCATTAGCAGTTGCTCACATGTTTTGGGGTGGGGGGAGAGGAGGAATTGGCTATCTTAAAAACTGGATATAAAAATGTGGGTCAGGATGTGTGTTCACCTCAGAAATGTTCTATTTAACAATTGGGTCATGCACATCTGGTGTAGGAACTTTTTTCTACCATAAGTGACACCAATAAATGTTTGTTATTTACACTGGTCTAATTTTTGTGAAAAGCTTCTAATTAGATAAAACATTCCAATTTAAGGTTCTCATTTTTGTGAACTTGGTTTGAGGTTATTTGAAATGTTGAAATAAGGAAACATTTCTGTTTAAACTAGACAAATTCCCTGGAAATATTCATCTAAGAAAAGGGGAGGAGGTTCACTGTATCCTTACCTAGTCAAGGGCCATTTCAGAGGCCAAGAGTGGAGTTTTCTTGAATATAATTAAAATTTCCTACTTCCCCTTCTTAAAACTTACTATAAATGATGCTTGTAGCTGCTTAGGTTATCTTTTTTTTTTTTCATCCCTCTGAACTCAGGCTGTACAGTGAGCTGTATCCCAGCCCTTTATATTTAGACAGGGTCTTCCTAAATTGCCCAGCTAGTTTGCAGTCTTCCTGCCCCAGCTCTAGTTGCTGGGATTACAAGGGCAGGCCACTGTGCCTGGCTGGATTCTCTTCTAAGAATTGATGGAATTTTCATTAGATTTTTCAATTTAAAAAGACTTAATTGCACACACCCCCTCCCCTGCACACACACAAAAAATGGGGCCTGATCACTGATATTAACTTTTATATACACTTAGATTTTAATTTTTTAAATTTTTTTTGGATTACTGGGGATCAAATCCAAGGCTTTGCACTTGCCCAGCACACACTGCCACTTAGCTGGATTCATTTTATTTATTTATTTTTTTAATTTTTTATTTTTAATTTTTTATTGTTGGTTGTTCAAAACATTACATAGTTCTTGATATATCATATTTCACACTTTGATTCAAGTGGGTTATGAACTCCCATTTTTACCCCATATACAGATTGCAGAATCACATCAGTTACACATCCATTGATTTACATATTGCCATACTAGTGTCTGTTGTGTTCTGCTGCCTTTCCTATCCTCTACTATTCCCCCCCCCCCCCATCCATTTTATAATTTTAAAAAGGTAAAAAAGGAGGACTTTTTAAGCTCCAGCTACAGTAGAATCCTCCCTGAAATTTCTCAGTGGTAGTAGGGTGGCATCTAGATGGTGGCCTTAATACTATATTAAACTATCCCATTTGTAAGACAAAGGTATTGGATGTGACATATCTTAGGACTATTTGGATTGGCATTTTGAGCAAAGTGATATGTAGGTAGATGACTAGTAAAACTCAATAAAGGTCTTTATTGTCTGGTGCTAACATGAAATCCTGCACTGTCCAAGGAAAAAGTATTTTGTGATGGGCAACCAGCTGAAAGGTTAATTTTTTAAGGATGGGGACCCAACACCAAATTTTTCTGAATACTAAAGCTTAGACTTCTGCACTTCCTCAGAAGCATTTGGGTAGGCCTGTAGTGTAATAAGGTCTGCAGGCCAAGCCCCAGCAAATGTTAAAAAAAAAAAAAAAGTGACCTGTTGGGCCTGGGTTGTGGCTCAGGGTTAGAGCACTCCTCTAGTACTTGCAAGAAGCCCCGAGTTCTATCCTCGGCACCACATATAAACAAAATAAAGGTATTGTGTCCACCTACAGCTAAAAAAAAAATATTTAAAACAAAAAATAGTGAACTGTCCCCACAGGCTATTACTACTATCAAATAGTCTGCACCTCTTTATGAGGATCAACTAATGAATATTAACAAGAACTTTCAACTGGCAAATGTCCACTCTAATACCTATGACTTGTCTTTACTTAGGGTCCTCCCCCCAGGACTGAGGATTAAACCTTGGGGTACTCTACCACTAAGCTACTACATACATCCTCAGCCCTTTATTTTGAGACGGGGTCTCACTGAGTTGCCCAGGCTGGCCTCAAACTTTTGAACCTCTTAGGAGTTCAAAATTGCAGGGATTACAGACATTCCCCACCATGGCCCACTTTTACCTAGGTTTGGTTGCTGGTAAAACCATTTTTACAATAGAATTTTTTGCACTGGGCTGTCAAGTCATTACCTACCAAAGTAAGATGGATATATTTTGCAGAAAAAATTTGGAAGCAGAAAACAGTTACAGTTTCTCTTAACTTTAATGAAAGTAACAATATTTTCTTTTTTTTTTTTTTAGTCAATTACAGTCACAATACAATCATTATAGATTTCCCCTTCTGTATTCATCCCACCAAACACAAAACATAGAAGTATGTCACTCTGGCTTTCCTCAGGTGTGCTGCCACATGGTGCCACTCTGTCGATGGAATCCCCTTTCTCAGTTTCATAGTTTAGGGTAACAGAATTTGAGTCTTCTTTCTCAGAAATAGATGTCACTGGCCATGGAATAATACACATGGAATGGTCCAAACGTCCAGGGGGCAGCAAAGTATCAAATTTAAGCAGAGACCATAGCTGTTTTTCTGGCAGGGGTAAAGAACAAAGGTGCATGTTATGAAATTTCTTTTTTTTTTTTTTTTTAATATTTATTTATTTATTTTAGTTCTTGGCGGACACAACATCTTTGTTTGTATGTGGTGCTGAGGATCGAACCCGGGCCGCACGCATGCCAGGCGAGCACGCTACCGCTTGAGCCACATCCCCAGCCCCCATGTTATGAACTTTCAAGAGATGTTCTCTGATTTACTGCATCAGCTGAGTGAGGGAAAACAAACCCAAAAGGCAGTGTTACTGCTTTAATGATGTCATTCCCTGTAAGTTCAATTTTCATTCCTTTGGATTTAGACATGGAGGAACCAAATTGAAAAACCAAGGCATTATGTCACTTTGCAAAACACGTTTGCACCACTCACCTATGTGATACTGGTACATTTTGTCCAGTGCTCCGGTGGGAGTCATTCCTCCAAAGACATATATATGTTTTCCCAAAGTCACAGCTGAGTGGGCAGCACAGCCTGCTGGGGCCACCCCTGTGGGACTGAGCTTCTGCCACTTCATGTCACCTGCAGAGAGAAAGAGTTAGCACTGTACAGGCTAAAATGTGGTTTGCAAATCAATCACTCAAGGTCATTCACTTGGAACTCTAGAGAGGTGACAGAGCAAGGTCTAGTGTGCATAAGAATTACTTGGAGGTGGGGCTTGAATGGGTAGTCCAGGGAGGGAGGGGAAACACAATTAACCTAGAGGATTCTGATGAAGCACACTGAGAAATGTGATACAGCCTTATTTAGTGATTATCACCTTTGTTCACACCATTAACTGCCCAGAAGCAGGTAAGTTGTATTTTAAATACCAAGTTATTCAGAAAGCAACTTTGTAAGCACTGGCTGGCTACTTTCAATATCTCCTTCACTTAATTCTCATACAAGCTCTGTGAATTGCTATTATTTGTGCCTACCCCTCACCTCCCCTTTTTTTGTGTGTGTGTGTGTGGTGCTGGGGATTGAATCCAGGGCCTCTTGCACATGTGAGGCAAACACTTTACAAACTGAGCTATATCCCCACCCCAGCCTACCACTTTCTTACAGATGAGCACAAGGGGATTATTAGAGAGGGAAAGAGGCTTGCTTGAGATCCCACAGCTTGTAAGTGGCAGAGCTAGACTGAGGTCCTGCTCCAAAACCTGAGTTCTCTACAACTTGCTGCCTTCCTTAGCATCTATTTCCAAAACTTTTTTTTTTTTTTTTTTTTTGGTACTGGGGAGCCCAAGGGTGCTCTACCTCTGTGCTACATCCCCAGTCCTTTTTATTTTATTTATTTTGAGACAGGTCTCACTAAATTGCTTAGGGCCTTGCTAAATTGCTGAGGCTGGCTTTGAACTTGTGATCCTCCTGCTTCAGCCTCCCAAGCTGCTGGGATTACAGGTGTGCCCCACCTTTCCCAGCTAATTTGAATCTTTTAAACAAGAATTTAAGAAGCATTTACATGAGGCAGGATATTATTAGATTTTAGGTTTAAGAGAACTATTTGGGTAGGCAGGAAAAACAGACAGGAAGTAGTCCTTCAGCACAAGAGAAAAGGACTTCCTTTTGAAAAATAAGCATAAAAACCCCATGGGACCACCTGCAAGGAATGCTTCTTGTAAAGAATGAAGATCATGTTCTAGGATTGTGGCTCAGTGGTAGAGTGCTTGCCTAGCACTCATGAGGCACTAGGTTCAATTTGATCTCCAGCACCACTAAAAAAAAATTATTTTAAATAAACAAGGGTTAAAAAAAAAAAAGAATGAATATCTGTTTCCACCTGTCAGTGTGAAGGGGGCCAAGTATTTGGGGTCACAATTCTAGCCAATGTTAGAATCCCAGTCAGCATCCCCAGGCTTCAAAGAACCCAGTGCTTGGTAAGGAAGTCTGCACAGGAGTTCCCATGCCTTTTGCCCATTGTTCCATTGTTCTTGAGTCTAGAGTAATGTACAACTGTTCATTTATTAATCTATCCACTCATAAACAGATGTGTATTTCATCACTTAGAATGTTCCAGACACTGTGCTAAGTGCTAGAAATACACCAGCAAACAAGAGATGAGTCCCTGCCCAAAAGGAGCTAGAACCCAAAGGAATAATCCAGAAGGAGACCAGGCTCTCCAGGGCCTGTCAGTGCACGTAAGCTACTTAGAGACAATTCTCATGTTCTAACTTTCCTCTTCCTGTGTTTTCAAATGTTTAGCCTGAGAAACATGTAATTCTGGTCTTTTACCTTCAGACACATCCTAAATGTTATCCTGGTCTGGTGTGGCTAATGCCTGAAAGAAATCCAGTTGTAGAGCACAAAGCATAATGAGCAGAGCACAATGGTGCATGCTTGTAATCCCAAGGACTGGGGAGCCTGAGGCAGGAGGATCGAAAGTTCGAGGCCAGCCTCAGCAACTTAGAGAGGCCCTGTCTCAAAAATAAAAAATATAAGAGGTTGGGGAGCTCAGTGATTAAGCACCCCTGGTTCAATCCCCATTACCAAAAAATGAAACAGAAAAGAACATCTAATAAAGAACACACACACACACTTTTTTTTTTTTTTTTGGTGGTACAGGGGATTGGACCCAGGGACTTGCGCATGCTAGGCAAGTACTCTACCACTGAGCTGGATCGCCATCCCTTTTTAATTTGAGACAGGGCCTCACTAATTTGCCCAGGGCTATCCTTGATCTTACAAGTATCCTTCTACCTCAGCCTCTGGAAAAGCTGGGATTATAGGAGTCCACCACTGTACCCAGCTTCTTTTAGGAAATAACATGTTAAGCAGCCAGATGTGAGGAAGCATGTTTATAAACCCAGCTACTTGGGAGGCTGAGACAGGAGGATCACAATTTCTAGGTCAGCCAGGGCAACTAACTTACCAAGACCCTGTCTTTTTTTTTTTGATGTTATTTATTTTTTAGACACAACACAATGCCTTTATTTTTTGTGCTGAGGATTGAACCCGGGTCTCACCTGTACTAGGTGAGTGCTCTACCACTGAGCCACAATCCCAGCCCTAAGACCCTATCTTAAGGTCTATCTAAAGGTCTGAGATGTAGTTAATGTGCCCCGCTAAGGGGTTCAATCCCAGTACCACAGACAAGCCTCCACACACTCTACCCTACTTACTTGTATCGATGCAATGGAAATCATCAAAGAATTTGTCCCCTGCCAAGCCTCCATGGATGAAAAGCTTTGTCCCTGCTGCCACCATCATATGACCATGCCGGGGAGATGGAGGACTTCCAAATGTCTCTGGCTGTGACCAGGTCAGAGTATCTAGAAAGTAAATTCATTGACATCAAGTGGCAAAGCTATGAAGCAAGAACGAGAGCAACACATCCAAGCTTCTTTATCACCTCCCAGCAAGCAGAGATGCTCTAAGCAGGAAGCATCCTTCTTAGAGACAAATCCATTCAGATCTCCCTCACACTACAGCCTGCACAGCCTCTGCTTGGATGCTCCCAGGGCTGGAGAGCACACTACCTAACATGCCTGCCCCTTCTCTGGGGCATTAGGAGACCATTTCTTATTTTATATATATATGTATGTATATATATAAACACACACTTTTGTTTTTCAGGTGGAGATGAACACAATACCCTTATTTTATTTTTATATGATGCTGAGGATCGAACCCAGTGCCTCATGTATGCTAGGTGAATGCTCTACCATTGAGCCACAATCCCAGCCCCTATTTCTTCTTTTGAATTGAAATGATCTCCTCTTAAGTTTCAACCTAGAACTTCATGAAAGTTAAAATGAACAAATACACTTCTTCTGTGACAAGATTTTTAATTTATTTTTTTGGTACTGAAAATTGAATCTAGAGGTGCTTTTACCAATGAGCTACATTCTCTCTTGCCCCCCCTTTTTTGGGGGGTACCATGGATTGAACCCAGGGGCATTCAACGCTGAGCTACATCCCCAGCACTTTATATATATTTTTTTATTTTGAGACAAGGTTTTGCGAAGTTGCTTGAATTGTGACCCTCCTGCCTCAGCCTCCTGAACTGCTGGGATTACACATGTGTGCCATGCACCTGGCTATTCCCAGCCCTATTTATTAAAATATTTTGTTTATTTAGTTGTAGTTGGACCCAATATCTTTATTTTATTTTTATATGGTGCTGAGAATCGAACCTAAGGCCTTGCATGTGCTAGACAAGTACTCTACTGCTGAGCCACAACCCCAGACCCCTTTTTATTTTTTGAGACAGGGTCTCACTAAGTTGCTCAGGGTCTTGGTAAATTGCTGAGGCTGGCCTGGAACTTGTGATCCTCCTGCCTCAGCCTCCTGAGAAACTGGGATTATAAGCTTGTGCCACAGCACCTGGGAAGGATTTAGTTTCTATGGGTGTACAAAATGGGGAGAGAGACAATACCTACTTCTTAGAGTTGAGGTATGAATTAAATGAGATAGTATACATAGTGCATCTCTTCTATATGTTTGTATAAATTAATATATACATACAAAGATTAATATATACAAATGTTCATTGTTCCAATGTCAGCAAAAAGCTAATCAGTAAGAAAATCAATGAATAAGATACACATAGAAGGATATGCTTTGCATGGAAATTGGTACTGACTTAGCAAGCTATTCATAAAGTATAATTAAATGAAGAAATAATAACAATAATAATATAAATATAGTTAATATTTATTAGGTACTTTTTATGTCTCAGGCACTTTATCATATTATCTCATTTAATCTCTTTTTTTAAAAAAATAATCTTTACAACCTCTTACTGGGCATGGTGATGCATGACTTGGGAGACTGAGGCAGGAGGATCACAAGTTTGAGGCCAGCCTCAGTAATTTAGCAAGACCTTCAACAATTTAGTAAGACTGTCTCAAAATAAAAAAAAAAAAAAAAACTAAAAATATCAGGAGCAGTGGCACATTCCTGTAATGCCAGTGGTTGGGGAGGCTGAGGAGAGGGATTGCAAGTTCAAAGCCAGCCTCAGCAATTTAGCAAGGGCCTGAGCAACTTAGCGAGACCCTGTCTCTAAAGAAAATATAAAAAAAGGGCTGGGGATGTGGCTCCATGGTTTAGTGCTCCTGGGTTTAATCCACGGAATTAAAAAAAAAAAAAAATTTTTTTTTTTGTGTGTGTGGTGAGCACTACTATTTTCTCTATTTAACAAGTAAGCAAACTAAGGCTAACAGAGATTAAGTCACTAGCCTAAAGTAACAAAGAAACCATGTATCAGATCTGGTCTTGATCCCAGTTGTATGGTTTAGAAGTGTATACTTTCAATTACTAAAAACCTACTCCTACTCTAAAAGAAAGGTGTACTTCTGGGTGTGGGGGAGCATGCTTGTAATCCCAGTGATTTAGAAGGCTGAGGCAGGAGGATCTCAAGTTCAAGGCCAACCTCAGCACTTTAGGGAGGCCCTAAGCAACTTAGAGAGACTCTGTCTCAAAATAAAAAATAAATAAAACTGGAGTGTAGCTCAGTGGTAAAGTGCCCTGCCTTCAATTCCCAGTGCCAGAAAATAGATAAGATAGATAAATGAATATAAGCTGCAGAAAAGTGTATATAATCTGATTTCATGTATGTGTTTTTAAAGTTTTTTTATACGATTTAAAAATTCACAGAATATTTATATATGCACCTATACACAAACCTGTATGATTTATAAATGAGTAGGTAAGTCTGAAAGGAGAGAAAAGAAATTGCTAATATCATTTACTTATCTAAAGAGTAGTAAGGATAGGCTGAAGAGGGAACGTTTACTTTTCTACTTTATGAAGTTTACTGTTTAATTTTTAAAAATTGATCATGGATATATTTTCAAAGCAAATGTTGCTACAAGAAAAAAATACATATCAGCAAAAAAGTCTAGAAGTGAAATATTTGGCCACAATTTCACTTTCCAATATTTGCTTCCTATACATTAGGTAAACTACCAGCCAACATAACCCTGAGCAGGTTAAATGATATCCCTGATACTCCATACTTGCGTCAAACACATGCAGCTTCATATCCTGCACAGGCTGGGCACCTCTCTCTCCACCCCCAAAGACATAGAGCTGGTTTCCAATAGCTGCTGATGATGTGTGGAATGTTCTTGGAGACGGTGGGGGGCCGGTCACTTCTGGCGTCCTCCAAATCCTGGTTTCTGGTCAGGAGAGAAGGCAGGGTTCTAAAACATCCAGGCCAAGGGGACCTCTGACCCTTACTCCTTTTGTGTGTGTGTGGGGGGGTGCTAGTGACTGAACCCAGGGTCTTGTGCATGCTAGGCATGCACTCTGTCACTGATCTACAGCCTCAGTCCTTGACCTCCAATCTTGGTAGGGCTAGGCAGGGTCACTTTATTACCCTGATCCTTGAGAAGGACAGCTGAGTTTTAGGTAAGAAGCTGAAATTTAGCTGAGCACCGTGGTGCACAACTGTAATCCCAGCAGCTTGGGAGGCTGAGGCAGGAGGATCTTGAGTTCAAAGCCAGCCTCTGCAACAGTGAGGTGCTAAGCAACTCATTGAGACCCTGTTTCTAAATGACATACAAAATAGGGCTGGGGATGTGGCTCAGTGGTTAAGTGCTCCTGATTTCAATCCCTGGTACCCCATCCCCATGGGAAAAAAAAAAAAAAGAATGAAGTTAGCCACACACAGTGGCATGCACCAATAATCCCAGCTACCTGGAAGGTTAAGGCAGGAAAACCATAAGTTCGAGATCAACCTCAAGAATTTCATGAGACTCTGTCTCAAAATAAAGAATAAAAAGTACTGGGGATGTAGCTTGGTTATACAATGCCCCTAGTTCAATATCCAATACCAAAAGAAAACAAACAAACAAAAACCCCTCAATATCCTCTTTATATTATACACTTTGTTGACTACCCTGTTCATTCAGAGGAGCTCAAAATTTGCTAAAATTCATTCCAACTAGATGCCAGAGTCCAAATGTGCCAAATTTCCCAGAAAGTGTAGCCATTAAATGAAAGCAGACAATATTATTACAGTTTCAGTGCCAATAATAAGAGTCCCCACAAAATAATAAAGCAGTGCAGTGGTACACACCTGAAATCTCAGAGACTTAGGAGGCTGAAGCAGGAGGCTGGCAGATTTGAGGTCAGCCAGGCCAACTTAATGAGACCCTATCTCAAAATTTAAAAAAGCAAAACAATAACAAAAAAACTTTAAAAATGGCTGAGGATGTAGATCATGGTAATGCATCCCTAGGTGGCATGCGCATGCACACACAAACGAAGTACTAAATAAATGTTAGATTTCCCCTTTTACAGAGAAGGGAATTTAAGCAGAGATACATTAAGTCACTTTTATTTACAGTGACCAGGCTAGTAAATGGCGGAGTTGGGATTTAAACTCTGTTTCAATAACACTAGAATCTATGATTATTCTCCTCTTCTGACTTGAGAATAAAAGCTTGCCACCTCGTAGATACATAGAAACAGACGTATCAACTGAACAGCTTCTGTGTGTAAGATCATTGCCCTGAATATTCTGCCACTCCCAATATCCTCACTCACCTCTTGGAGGTGGGTAAAAAATATTTCCATTTTGGAACGAGGAAACTGAAGCTCAGAAACTTAAAATCCTGTCCCCCAGGTCATAGCACATCTGAGAAGCAGAGAAGGAGCGTGAACTCATCTCTGTCCCATACTTGCTCCACCACAACATCTCAAGGATTAGTTCTGTTCCTTTTTTTTTTTTTTTTTTTTTTGGTAACTTTTCCTTTTTTATTTATTTATTTTTATTTTTAGTACCAAGGATTGAACTCAGGGGCATTCAACCATTCCCGGCCCTATTTTGTATTTTCTTAAATTTAGAGACAGGGTCTCACTGAATTGCTTAGCACCTCACATTTGTTGAGGCTGGCTTTGAACATGTGATTCTCCTATCTCAGCCTCATGTGGCTCGGTGGTTAAATGCCCTTGAGTTCAATCCCTGGTACCCTGGGATTACAGGCATGTGCCACTGCACCCAGCTTATTTTTTATTTTGAGACAGACTTAATGAGACCCTATCTCAAAATTTCACTAAGTTGCTGAGGCTGGCTTTGAACTTGCAATCCTCCTTCCTTAGTCTACTGGGCCACTAGGATTACAGCCATGTGCCACTGCATCCAGCCTAAGGATTATTTCTTGCCTGGAAAATTCTATGCCTTTTGTAAAAGGCCTGCATCCAATATGCAAAATGCTGCACAAAGCATCTGCAATATGTGTGGAACTCAAACATGAACTTGGAGACTGAACAAATCCCAACCCACATTCAAAGCAAAATATAATCGTCTTGGTAGCTACAGACGTTGGACAGCTTTTGGGACTTGGAGTTAGAAGGTGCAGAAGTCAAACATCAACACAACCACAAAGGAGTCTTAAGCCATTTGAAGGGCTTGCTCTGGTAATAAAAGCAACTAATGACTCACATTTTCCATATTTCTTGGGCACTGTGTCAATTATACTTTCCAGGATAAAAAGGGATACAGTGAGAAAATCAATTCCTTTGTAGAAGCTTTCCAAAGTTTCACTGTGTTTTGCTTTTGTATTTTTGCTACCAGGGATTGAATCCAAGGACACTTAACCACTGAGCCACACCCAGTCTTTTTAAACATTTTTTATGTTGAGCCTCACTAATTTGTTGAGGCTGACTTCAAACTTGAGACCCTCCTGCCTCAACCTCCCAAGTCTCTGGGATTATAGATGTGTTCGACCGTGCCTGGCTCACTGTATTTTATTTAAAGAATGCTGTCACCAAGAATCAAAAGGGTAGGTCCAGAACTGATTTCCATTTTCCAAAGCATACCTACATTAACCACAACAACTAACAAATATTGAAAGTTAAGTCTTTGCCAGATATCAAATTAATTTGAACCCTTGTCAAATTAACAAGGGATGAAACATTTCTATCCTAGTGTGACACAAAAGAAATCTGAGGTAGAAAGAAGTTAAATCACTAGCTCAAGGTCATGGTTAGTGCCCAGCAGAGCATATCCTGATTAGTGTTTTTTTTTGTTGTTTGTTTGTGTGTTTGGTGCTAGGGATTAAACCAGAGACTGTCTCATGCTAGGCAAGTGTTCTACCACTGGGATACATACCAAACCCTTTTTATTTTATTTTTTGAGACAGGGTTTTTCTAAATTGCCAAGGCTGGACTCAAACTTGCAATCTTCCTGCCTTAGCTTCCTAAGTAGCTGAGATTGGTCATGTGCCACCACATCCAGCTTGTCAATAATATTCATAAAGAAAAAAGCAAATTTTTAAAAATGACAAAAAGACAAGACCACCTCCCACAAGTAGTTCAGCAACCTCCTCCTGGGAGTGATGCTCTCAAATTGCTTTTCCTTTGATACAACTACTAGTGAGACTGGAAAGGGATCAGCCAGTTTTGGCTTAAAGAAACACTAACAAGACCTGAGGCAGAGTATCTTACCTTTGGTATTGACTGGCATTTTAGAGCAGTCCTGTGCCTCACAGGACATAAAGCAGCATCTCTGAGCTCTAACCACCTGATGCCCATAGCTACCCTGACCCCAGCTGTGAAAACCAAAAATGTTTCCAGATATTGCCTGATCTCACTTGTGGGACATAAAAGTCCTCACTAGAGAACCACTGATCTAGGTAACCTGGGTTCTATCCTGGCTCAGTTACTGACTCCCTGGTAACTTTAGGAAAGTCACATCCCTCTCCTTGGATCTGAGCTGCCCACTGGCATAGGTGTTCTCTGAAGTCCTTTCCAGCTTGGATATTTAAGGAGTTGATAAATTCATGTTTTTTATGAGGTCAGAAAAGTTAAATGAATTAATTAGTTCAATCCAAACATACTGGAATTATAATTGAAATTATGGGTGCAAGATGAAAATAAACCAACCTTTGGCTACTTACCAAGATTTAGGACTTGGAGACAATTTCGATTTCCTGACTGGTCAGCCCCTCCAAATACCCAGATGCTGCCAGGTGTGCAGGAAGGAATGAAGCTGGCATGTTCGTACCGCGGCAAGAGGCCCCCATAGGTAGCTAAGTCCCACTGGTGTGTCCCTAGAAAACATTTCACTCAGTTCCTCAATTGGGGCTGTCAAATGCTTATGTTGGTTGGCAAATTTGGGGAGGGTAGTTAAAAAAAAAAAAAAAAGGCCAATAGCATAAATGAACAACTATTAAGTCACTTAAGGGAATGGGGTCAACCTATGAGATGATTGATAATAGACACTTTGGGGGCTATCTGCCTGTCCATATGCCCTAGTCTATGGAAACTATCCTCATTCTCCCTTCTAACCACATGGGTAGAGCCCAGACAAAATGTCTGTATCACTTTGACTTTCTAGTCTCAGTTGACTGAGTAAGAGGTAGCCAGTTAATCTAAATGGGCCAGCAGATTCACTGTTTCCACTCTCTCATGAGGGGATGTGCTTCCTGCCCCTGGATTCTGCAAAACATCTCTGATATCTTTATAAATTTCTCCTTTTCTCTCTCTTTTTAAGTGGGTGTCTCTTACTATAACTAGCTGATTTTGGCTAAACCAAGTTCACTGAAAAATAACACCTGACCTATTAGTTGTTTTATTTTATTTAAAAAAAAATCTTATTAGTGGGCTGGGGCTTAGGGGTAGAGCACTTGCCTCACTCGTGCAAGACCCTGGGTTCAATCCTCAGCACCACATAAAAATAAATAAGTGAAATAAAGGTATTGTGTCCAATTACAACTAAAAGATAAATATTTAAAAAAACTTATTAGTTGTAGATGGATACAATGCCATTATTTTATTTATTTATTTTTATGTGGTGCTAAGGATTGAACCCAGTGCCTCATACATGTTAGGCAAGTACTTTACCATTGAGCTACACCAGAGCCCTATTAGTTGTTTTAGTTAGAAAACCATTTCCTAGGATGTTCCAAGGCACCATCTTTTTGGATCATTATGGTGGCCAACAGAAGCAAATTATATCCACACTACATTGTACTCTGAGGTCCAGATGGTTTAGCCAGGACCACAAAGCTAGTAACAGGTGGCAAGGTGTAACTTTGGGCTGGGTATGAACTTAGTGGTAGAATGCCTGCCTAGCCCTGAGTTTTATTCCCACACCACAAACAAAACAAAACAAAATAAGATAAAATTAAAAAGTGAGTTCCTTGATGGCTGAAAATGACTTGCATTTTTTCCTCTAGTCCTGAGCATCAAACTCAGGGTCTTGGGCATGCTAGGCAAGCATTCTACTAGAAGAGATTCAATTTGCCTTGGATTTCCTAGTGCAAGGAGTAGAGATTCAAATGCCTAGAGTGGGGAAGCAAGGACTATGACAACTTGGAGAATGAATGTCCCATCAATAGGTGTAGCTCAGCACCAAATAATTGTTACCAAGTAGCCATGCAGGTCTAGAGATGTCAAACCATTTTAAATTATCACGAGAGAGACAATTGTAGTTCAGAGGTAGAGCATTTGACTACATGTACAAGGCCCTGATTCAATCCCCAGCACTGGGGGGAAAACAAAAACAAAATAACAACAACAACAACAAAATGATTTGGCTTCTTAGGATAATATGTGTGTGTGTGTGTGTGTGTGTGTATAGTAGGCCTTGCATGTCCTAGGCAAGCATTCTATCACAGGGCTATATCCCCAGCCCATCAATTTTTAAATGTAGACCCCTGCTTATTTTGTAAACAACATATGACTAAAACAAAACAAAATAAATTATATGGAATTAACAAAACATGTATGTGGATCACCAGTTTTTAAATTCTTCCCTAAGTATAGCACATAGTAGTCACTGGTTCATTAGTTTGTTCACTCACTCCTTCCTTCCTTCATTCATTGATTCATTCATCCAAATACTTAAAAAGCACCTGCTCTGTGCTAAGTGCTCTGGTAGTGGCTGGGGATACAATGATAAATAAAATAACCATGTTCCTTTGTTTCCAAAGAGCTTACACTCTGTGGGCAAGAGCCTTAGGAAACAATCCCATGTGCTATGAACCGTGAAGGGGAAGAGGTTGGGACAGTGCACAATACTGTGGACCACAAGAAGGTAGTGACTAAACTAATCCAAAAGTACCAGGGAAAGAATCCTGATAGAAATAATTAGTTCTTTCTTTTCTTTTCTTTTCCTTTTTTTTTTTGTACCAGGGATTAAACCCAGGGGTGCTTAACTGCTGAGCCACATCTCCAGCCCTTTTCATGTTTCATTTTGAGACAGGGTCTCACTAAGTTGCTTAGGGCCTTGCTAAATTGCTGAGGCTGGCTGTGAACTCGTGATCCTCCTACTTTAGCCTCCTGAGTTGCTGGGATTACAGGCATGAACCACCATGCCCAGCCAGAAATGACATTTAATTTGGGATTTGGGAAGAACTTTCCATGCAAGAGTATGCCATGGCTTGGAGGGGGAAGTTCAAAATGTATTCAAGGAGGGCTGGGGTTGTAGCTCAGTGGTAGAGTCTCGCCTAGCACATGTGAGGCACTGGGTTTGACCCTCAGCACCACATAAAAATAAATAAAAGATATTGTGTCCAACTACAACTAAAAAAAAAAAAATTAAAAAAATTATTTTTTTTCAAGGAAATGAAGGCTATTCAGTGTAGCAAATGTGGGTTGGTGAGAGCCAATAAATGAGGTTGGGAAAGGCTTAAAAAGGAGACTGATGGGGCTGAGGCTGTAGCTCAGTGGCAGAGCACTTCCCTAGCATGTGTGAGGTAATGGGTTTGATGCTTAGCCCACATAAAAATAAACAAATAAAATAAAGGCATTCTGGGCTGGGATTGTGGCTCAGCGGTAGAGCGATTGCCTAGCATGTGCAGGACCCGGGTTCGATCCTCAGCACCACATAAAAATAAAGGCATTGTGTTGTGTCCATCTACACCTAAAAAAATAAATATTAAAAAAATATACATATAAAATAAAGGCATTCTGTCCATCTACAACTATAAAAAAAGAAAGAAAGGGAATTGGACTTGTATCTAAGACAACATTCTCTGGCTAGGTCTAGAAAATGCACTGTAACCAGGCTGGGGATATATCTCAGTTGGTAGAGTGATTGCCTTGCATGCACAAGACCCTGGGTTCAATCCCTAGTGCCACAAAAGAAAAAAAAAAAAAAAAAGGGCTGGGGCTGTAGCTTAGTGGCAGAGCGCTTGCCTAGCATGCATGAGGCACAGGGTTCAATCTTCAGCACCACATTAAAAAAAATAATAAAGACAAATAAAATAAAGGCAGTCTGTCCATCTACAACTACAAAAATATTAAAAGAAAACTGGGCTGGGGTTGTGGTTTAGTGGTAGAGTTCTCGCCTAGCATGCACAAGGCACTTGGTTCTATCCTTAGCACCACATGAATGTAAAATAAAGATATTGTGTCCATCTAAAAAACTAAAAAATAAAATTAAAAAAAAAAGAAAATGCACTGTACAGTGGGTAAACTTGGAGACAGGGAGACCAGTGAGGAGGTGATTCCAACAGTCTAGTTGAGAGATAACAGTGGTTTGGACTACAGTGGTAGTAGTGAGAATGGACCAACATGGATAAAGATCGGAGATATTTGTGACCCAAAGATTCTTTGAATATGTGAATGGAAGGAGAGGTGGGAGTCACTGATGTCTCCTGGAGAAATATTTGATGAATCAGTGATTGGATGTCCTGGGCTCCATATGGGCCCATAGGAGGTCTGACCCCCTAAACAAGGAGGCACTGGTCAGGTGAATATGTGCCAATCTGCTGAAACCTGTCAATGATGCACTTTTTTTCCTGCTATCTGGTTGGAGCTGGTATTCTGAAGAATGCTCTGCTCACACCTGGCAGCAAAAGCCAGCTGCATTCTGCAGCTATTGATCTTACCCAGATTCATGGTGTACACATCAGAGAAGCTTCTGTTTGGATTTGCTCCTCCAACAATGACAACCTTCCCTCTCTTGGCATCACCAACTCGGGGTAAATATGAGCAACTGTGGCCAACTCGAGCACAGGGGCTGTCTCCAGGGGGAGTCAAGGTGTACCTGCCAAAGGGAGGATGTATTCAGGAGACCTAAGCACAGAACAAGTGTAGGGGTGTGTTCTTTTCATTGCTCATGAAGCATTCACAGAAGGAAGGACCTGATACATACACAGACACTTTAACTGTATCCAGCAAAACAGCACTTCCATGATCAACAGGAGTATCTTCCTATGTTCACAGCTTTGGTTTTTCAATTTTGTCACTACTTCCACCTTATATAACCTAAGGGAGATGCACTGGGCTGGTAATGACCCCATATGGTGGACAGGGAAATGACATCCAGAAATGTTCACTGTTATGTCTTGACACAACAGCATAGTTAGTGGTTATAAACGCGGTTTGTGAATTTGGACAGACCTGGTTCTAGTCTCAGCTCCAGTACTTTCTAGATGTACGACCTGGAAGTCACTTAACCCTTCCGAACTTCACTTTCTTCATTTGTAAAACAAGGAGAGCAACAGGTCTTACCTCAAAAGGTGGTTGTGAAGACTCAAAGCCAGTAGCAGTGTAGGAAGGGTCTTGTTAAAGGGTGCCTTCATGGGGATGCCTACAGACTCAGGTTCTTGCCACTAACCAGTGATGTCTCCCTGTCCAGAAAAGTTTTCTAGGATTTGTGGATTTTAAGAGCCTTTCCAGATTACTCATAAAGCTCAACCTGATGCAAGCCAAAGCTAAGACTTGGAAAATTGCATACAGGATCCAGTCATTCCATTCTCTAAAGTTATTCTGAATGCTAACTGAGAAAACACATTTTAAAGTTTCATGCTTAGAAAAGAAAATTCCCCGGGCTGGGATTGTGGCTCAGTTGTAGAGCGCTTGCCTAGCATGTGTGAGGTACTGGATTTGATTCTCAGCACCACATATAAATAAACAAAATAAAAGTCCATTGACAACTAAAAAATATATATATATTAAAAAAGAAAAGAAAATTCCCTAGCTGTTTTTTAGGCCGTGTTTTATTGACATCTCTGATGTCTGGTATTCCCAACCCTCCCCTCCTCCTTTTACCTTTCCCCTAATCTTGCTTCACCATACCTCTACCTTTTGAATCTCCATTCACTTTTCTGTTTCCTTCTCTGATTTCTTTCCTGACAGCCTCCTCCTAACTCTCAGTATCCTCAGAATTCTCTTTTTCTCAGTTTATGTTTGCTTCAATTACCACCATCTCTATCATCATCCATGATTTCCAAATCTCTACTTCATATTCAGATCTCTTCTGACTTCCAGATCTGCATACCCCATTACCACCTGGATAGTTACTAATAATGTGCCACACACACAACTCTGACAATGTGCTGACATTACAACCCTGGTTTCAATTCATCTGCATAGAAGCAATTTGAGGATTAGTACTATTATCATCATTTGAGTTTTACAACCGAGGAACTGAGGCTTAGAAAAGCCCAAAGATTAATAACTTACCTAAGAACACAAACATATCTAGATAGATGGTTAATAATACAAGGCCTCAAAGCCCTTACAAACTAGTTGGGAAGAAACATTAAATAAGTTCACAAATATCTATTTCAGGACAGGACTAGCTATTTGTCTAACACAAGACAAATAATATGGGAATGTACCACAGGAGGGCTTGACCCTGTAAAGAGAGGTGGGGGTGGAGCGGTCAGAGGCAGCTTCCTGAAGAAGGACCATTTGAACTGAGATGTGAAGTAGGAGTAGAAATTAGCTGGGGAAAGAGAGATGAAAGTTGAAGGGAAGGAGAGGTCCAGGTGGAGGAACTAGCATGTACAGGACCTGAGTGGGACACTGAAGACAATGCTAAACGAAGAGAGAGCAAAAAAATAGGTAAGGATATTTGAAGTTGGAAGGAAAGGCAGAAATAGAATTATGCAGGGACCAGTGGGAGAGTCTAAGGAGTCTGTCAATTTTTCTTTTCTAGTGCTAAGAATGGAACCCAGGATCTTGCACATGCTAGGTAAATACTCTACCATTGGGGTCCACCCCCAGCCCTCAAAAAGGTTTTAAGCTAGAGAATGCCATGATCAGATATGTGTTAGGTACCCAACAGGATGGAAACAGGGGAGCCATAGGAGGTTCTCCTTCAAGGTCCGTGGAAACACTGCCACTTCTATGCAGCTTTCTTTGACCCTGCCTCAGCACTGATCACATGCTATCACCAAGACCTGCTTAGTCTAGAGCCCCTACTACACAGAGACTGTTGATCTTTGGACCTTCAGACCCTCCACAGCAGCTGCTTCTGTCAGAACAGTATTATAGAATGAAGGGTTGGTTGAACAAACATCTAAGAAACAGTGAAGCCAGTGAATTTGAATGCAAATTCAATTCCCTAAAAATTTTAAAAATGAGTCACAGCTCGGGGGGAGACACCACATTGGAGTTGAGGATGCCAGATGGTCAGTGCCTTACTCTTCTTGGTAAAGGATTTTAATAAAATTAACATCTGCTCTGTGATAATTATTGCCCCCTCATCTTTCCTCTGGAGACCTTCTCAGACAGTTGGAGTCTAATTACCAGAAATTGCAGACAGTTTCATCTCTACTCTTTTTCACTGATGACCAAATACATTAGTAAACTATTTATAAACGAAACAAAAGCTTCTGTGTGTGTGTGTGTGTGTGTGCATGCACATGTGAGTGAATCCTCTTTTACAGACCATGTTGCTTTCCTGGGTTTGTCTCCAGGCTCCAAGACTGGCAGCTGCTTCATGGTGTCCTACGCATAAGAATAAAAGACACTTTTAGATATTTACGATTATCTTCTTCATAAAACATAGAACAAATCAGGTTACCCTCCCCTTTAAAACCTCTCCTGTTGAGGGGTTGGGGATATGGTTCAGTGGTTGGGTGCTTGCCTAGGATCCCCAGTACCACAAAACAAACAAACAAACAAACAAAACTTTCCTGTTGAATGTACCAATGTCTAAGGCCTGATTAATCTGAATATGAATCATGAAACTTTTCATATAATATTTTTCTTTTTTTTAGTGCTAGGGGTTGAACCTTGACCTAGTGTATTGTTAGGTGAGTCCTCTACCTTTGAGCTACACCACCCAACCTTAACATAACTTTCTTAATATAACTATATCTTTTTTTTTTTTTGCTAAAGTTTTCTATGTGTCCTGTGATTCTCATGGGGAAGGGGCATATGCCAAAATTTTAGAGTTTGTAAGATGTTTGTGTTTATCAAAAAATAAAACATCCTAAGAGTCTGAGAAATATTGAACTCTGGGATAAATCTTGGCCTCATCATGACAGAAGGTCAGGCCTTCTGGTGTTAACTGATTTTCTGCAAAGTGACTTCCACAATGTCTTGCAATACTGGGCTTTTTGTTGCTCCTATTATATGGCAGGTCGTTTTATGACTTGCAGCCCAAGTAGCTTTCCCTACTTGGAATGTCCTTTCCCTTCTTGTAAACTTGCAAACTCCTAGTCAGCCTCTAAAGCCCAGCTCAAATATTCCTTCAAGAAAAGCTCTCTCTCACTCTCTCTCTCTCTCTCTCTCTCTTTTTTTTGCTTTTCACTTCTACTCCCCCAAATTATTTCCTTCTACCTGAGGGCTGACATTTTTTATTAAGCTATCATTGCAGGGATTATTCTGGGTCTAAGTATCTATTTAAAAGTCTCTAGATTCAATTCTAGATTAAATTCCTGGAGTGCTGGGCCAGTACAATTTGTTCTGAGAATTTACCAATGGACCTGGAATAGAGTAGAAGGGAGTGAAGGATGAGTGAATGAAGAAAGGAAATGGATTAATGAAGAGATAAAATGATAAAAACGAACTGAGGCCTAGGACACTGACTATAGCCCCAGAGCCTAAAGCTCAGTGGGTGGGCTTTGCATGAGCAGGGACCTCTCCCAGCCGCCCCTGCAATCTCCCTCGCGGAGTCCCATCCCGTTGTGGGAACTCTAGGGTACAAGAGACAGGGCGAGGAGAGAAATGCTGGTGGCCGGGTCGGAGACTGGTGTCCACTCCAAGGTAAAAGATACGCCCTTCCCCCTCCCCCCAGGCCCGGAGATTCCCCAGGTTCAGGACTACTTTACCTGCGGCAGCTCAGGCCAGTCCCTATCCGTGGCTCCGCCCCTGAAGGGGGCGGGACTCAGTCCATTGCCCCTCCCCACAGGCCCCGGAAGCGCGTCGGGGCCAATAGCTTCCAACAGCTTTCCGACTTGGGCTGTCAGCTGTCTGGGAAGGGGCGTAGAGGGAACGCTCGGGACCCCGAAGTCCTCCAGCAGGAACAGGCCGGGCTTTCCCTGGAGTCCTCCCTCCCCAGCGGAGAAAAAAAGCCAGGGTTACTTGGAAACGACATACAAGCGAAATGCCCGGCGTTGGATGTCCACTTGGGCAGCTGGTCTGTCCTCAAGACCAGTTCAAGTTTGGTGGCTTAAATAGCTGACTCATTCTGTAATTGCCATTTGAATTATAGAATGCTCCGGACAACATGCCCTGGGCTCTAGGACTTTATAGTCTAACTTGAAAATGGAGAAACAGGAATGATTGTAAAGAATGAAGGGAGGGGCTGGGGCTCAGTGGCAGAGCATTTGCCTTGCACGTGTGATCGAACTATAGGTTCGATCCTCAGCACCACATAAAAAATAATAAACAAAATAAAGGTATTGTGTCCATCCACAACTGAAAAAAAAAAATGCAGGGAATAAAAAGCTCATCACTTCTCGAGAAGTGACTTATTCTGGGCCTCAGTGTCCTCCATCTTTAACATGGAGCCAATCATATTTCTGTGACAGTAGTGGTTGGAAGTACAGGAGATAATGTAAAGTGCTCAGCACCCAGGTGCTGGCACAGAGCAGGTCCTCTGTGAAGGGATAAAGCTCTTTGTGGTTATACATGAACTACTGTGGGTAGGTATGCACATCTGCATTTTTAAATTATAATTTTAATTAATTTTTTACACTGGGCATTGAATCCAGGAAGTTATACTCCCAACCTTTAAAAAAATATTTTTAGTTTTTGATAGACCTTGATTTTATATGTGGTGCTAAGAATTGAACCCTGTGTCTCACACATGCTAGGCAAGTGCTCTAACCCTGAGCTACAACCCCAGGGCATCCCCAGTCCTTTTTATTTTTTATTTTAAAACATAGTCTTGCCAAAGTGTCCAGGCTAGCTTTGAACTTGCCTTTCTCCTGCCTCAGCTTCTCTAGTCACTGGAATCACAGCCACCCATTATTAGCTTTTTATGTTTTAATTTAGGGCTGGGATAACCAGTTAGACCTCACTAGTCACACTGAAACCACATGCAACCTTATCTTATTTCTGTCTTTTTTGCAGAGCTAGGGATCAAACTCAGGGCCTGTGCATGCTAGGCAAGCACTCTACCACTGAGCTATACGTTCAGCCCCTGCATTATCTCAGATTCACATCCTAATTATAGGTTCTTTGTGACCTTCCTGAAAGGGTGGCTCACCTATGTCTGATTTAGAGAATCACACGCTGAGCAACAGTGTTGTATCCTAGGAACCAGAGAAAATGGCTAAGACTGGAAAAGTAGGAACTCCAGGACTATAGCACTATGGTAGCTTAGTGGAAAGAAGTCAGAATTACTTGTGTTCAAATCCAGGCTCTATCAAGAACCATCAGACTCTCACACTGCGCAAGTTCATTAGCCTTCTTGAACCCTAGTTCCCTCATCTATAATGATAGGGATAATAATGCCTACTGTGCAGAGACAGGGGTCAAGAGGACTCCATAATACAGGTGAAAAGCCATCTTGGTAAATGTTTTAGCTACTTGAAGCATAATCAAATTATGGACAAAATGGAATTTGAAGGCTGCAGCTCTCCTAACTGCTTCATGATACTATTTCTAACACCTATAGATTTTTCGTGAATTCCTTGTTAATGGCGAAATCCCCACTCACTGTCAAAGAGGAGTTTATGGATACACAGTCATTCTGTTCCTCTTCAGGAAAGAAAACTAAGGCCAGGTTTGCTCTACCTTATGTCCACACACATCTAGATAGTGATTTCTGCTCAGAGCTGTAGAATACTCTTAAGTCTCGTGGGTCTTTTGACTAGGTCTACTTCAAGGCTCCATGCTAGATATGGCATGAAGTGTCATATGTTAACAAACAAACAAAAAAATCAGAAAAGGTCTGTGAGCAAAACAACAACTAGTCAGGTGAGGTGGCTCATGCCTATAATCCCATGACTCAGGAGGCCCTGGCAGGAGGATTGCAAGTTCAAAGCAAACTTCAGCAATTTAGTGAGGCCCTGAGCAATTTAGTGAGACCCTGACTCAAAAACAAAAAAAAAAAAACAAAAAACAAACAAAACAAAACAAAAAACAAAGCTTGGGGATAAAGCTCAGTGGTAAAGTGCCCTTGGGTTCAATCCCTAGTACCAAAATATAAACAACAACAAAATAACAACCACTTTTTACTGTGGAACCTATGGTTCTGGACTAGAAATCACATTTGAGAATTCTGGAAGGAACATTTGAAATTTATTTTTTAAATGGGAGTCATGTAGGCATGGGGGTGCACACATGTAATACCAGTGACTTGGGAGGTGGAGGCAGGAGGATTGAAAGTCCAAAGCCAGCCTCAGCCAATTAGTGAGGCCTTAAGCAACTCAGCAAGAAACCCTGTCTCAAAATAAAAAATGAAAAGGGATGGGGATGTAATTAGGTAGTTAAGTGCCCCTGGGTTCAATCCCTAGTACCAAATAAAATAAAACACTAAAATGGGATTCAAGGCCTAAAGAAGTAAAAATCACTTACCCACGTAAATGACAGAACTGGGAGACCAGATCCTCTGCTCTGTGGAAGGAAGACAAAGAACACTTTCCAGTCATTGAACTGTGTACTCTTTCAGACCCAAATCATTCAGTATGTCTTATCTTTCCTAAGAACATGCCCAACACTCTGAGGGATGCTTTCCTCCTCTCTGCTGTGGACACGAAGAGTAAGTTTCACTCTATGAGGTGGGTCTGCAATAGGGGCTTCTTGTGGTCAGTTTGGTAAAGCACTGCCACTTCTTTTCACCAGAGGGCACACCACTGATCCATTCACTGACTTATGAGCAATGAATGCAGGTGACACCTTCCTTTTAAGCACTTCACAGTTTATATAAAAGCTCATATTCATCTCACTTTTTGTCTTCTTTTCCACTTTTAAGAAGGTATCTTGAGTATAATTTATTCCCAATTATTAAGGTTCAGGGATGAAATGTGAATCACCAGCTTTTCTAAGATTGCAATAAAAAGACCAACTAACAATAGCATCTTTTCCCCATTTGCGATTTTTCCCAAAGAAAGTATACTATTTTATTTTTTGCAACTCTCAAATAGTTAACTCTTCAGAAAGATCTTTCTTGTCCACCCAATACTTAGTGCTAACAATTATACAGGCTTTACTCTGTGCTAGATGTTGTTTAAGTCACTTTCGTGTATTTACGTTTTAAACTTCAGCACAAGCCTATGAGGTATTATTTTTATCTCACTATGATGTGGGCACTATTTTTATTGTTGACATATTGCAACTGAGAAAACTCTTCCATATGACTTCAGCTCTTCCATATGACTTCCCCCAGATATCTACATATCTCAAAAGGATAAATAACTTGCTCAAAATCACACAGTAAGTAGTAGAGCCTGGATTTGAACTCTAATCATTTAGTGCCACTGGGATTACAGGCATGTGCCACCCTGCCAGTCTTCTCATTAAAATTTATTCCAATGAGACAGGTGCAGTGGCACATGCTTGTAATCCCAGTGACTCAGGAGGCTGAGACAGGAGGATCACAAGTTCCAAGCCAGGGTCAGCAATGTGGTGAGGATTTAAGTAACTTAGCAAGATCCTATCTAAAAAAACAAAACAACAACAACAACAACAACAACAACACAAATACAAATAAAAATGGGCTGGGGATGTGGTTCGGTGGCTAAGTGCCCTGGGTTCAATTCCCTGTAATAAGAAAAAAAATTTTTTAAATTTTATCGGTTACAGGTATAGTAGTTCAGTGGTAGAGAGCTTGCCTAGCATGTAGGAGGTCCTGGGTTTGAGCTCTGGCACCACCACAGTGGGGAAAAGTTTATCCCATTGTCCCCAAAATATACTCTAGAGCAAGAGGATTCAGTCCAGGATCACTCTCTTCTTGTACTGGGGATTGAATTTAGGGGTGCTTTACCACTTAGCTACATCCCTAGTCCTTTTTATTTTGAGACAGAGTCTTATCAATTGTTGAGGTCGCTTTGAACTTGTGATTCTCCTTCCTTACTGGGATTACTATTTTTTAGTTTTTGGTGGACACAACATCTTTGTATGTGGTGCTGAGGATGGAACCCTGGCCGCACGTATGCCAGGTGAGCGTGCTACTGCTTAAGCCACATCCCCAGCCCCAGTCCTGTCTCTTAAACAACAAATATTGATGATGCACTTGCTACTATGGGTTATATAAGTCTTCTAATATCTCAGTTGCAACCGTTGCCCTCTTGTAGTCTCATACAGCAGCCAGAGTGATCCTTATTTAAAAAGTCAGATAATTTTACTCCTTAATTTCCTTTAACATCAAAAGTAAAAAAAAAAAAAAAATCAGCTCTTCTATATGACTTCTCCCAGGTATCTGCATAGCTAACCCCCCCATTTCTTTGTTGTTTTTCTTTTTTTTCTGAATTCAGGGGCACTCAACCACTGAGCCAAATTCCCAGCTCTATTTTGTATTTTATTTAGAGACAGGGTCTCATTGAGTTGCTTAGCGCCTGGCTGTTGATGAGGCTGGCTTTGAACTCCTGTCTCAGCCTCCCCAGCTGCTGGGATTATAGGCAAGCGCCACCTCACCCAGCTTCTTTGTTTCTTAAAAACGCTCATTACCCCATCTCTCTCTTTTTTTTTTTTTAAATTTTTATTGTTGGTTGTTCAAAACATTACATAGTTCTTGACATATCATATTTCACACTTTGATTCAAGTGGGTTATGAACTCCCATTTTTACCCCCTATACAGATTGCAGAATCACATCGGTTACGCATCCACTGATTTACATATTGCCATACTAGTGTCTGTTGTATTCTGCTGCCTTTCCTATCCTCTACTATCCCCCCTCCCCTCCCCTCCCCACCCCATCTTTTTATCCTACTGTTTTTTTTCCCTCTTCTATCACATATCACTTTTTAACGCAATAAGTAATCTATTATTATTTATATTCTGTCTTCTATAAACTACAGGATGAGGATAAAGATTTTTGTTTTCCGTGTTCACTGAATTACTCAAGTGTCTACAACTGCAATGGTACATAGTTGGTGCTCCATAGAATAAACCAGCGTAAAGGGTACACTAAGTGCCAGGTACTGTTCTTGGCATTGGGGATCAACAACAACAACAAAAAACCTTCCAGCCTTTGTAGAACTCCTACGGGAGTACGCTTAAGTCAGTGGCCTATTTTCCAATCTTGGCTCCACCGTTTCTTTCCTATGAGATTTTGGGCAAGTTTAACTTCTGGGCCTCGCAGTTTCACCAGTCCTTATGCGGATTAAGTGGGGTAAAAAATAGCCTCTGTATAGCATTTAGTGTAAGAAACACTTTAATATTGGTTTCCCTTCCTTCCTGTTCGGAGGACGGGAGTCTGACATCTGTGCCACAGGTCTAGGCGAGGTCTTCACAAGGCCTTGGAAGGTGCAAACGGGTTGCTAGAGTCAAGCTTACCCGATTTTTAACTGAAGATGTTCTGGTGGGAGAGTGCTTAACAGGGTCGGCATGAGAAACGAGTGAATGCCTAGAGCCACCCACTTCGCCGTTTTGCCTCGGAAAGGTCCCGCCGGTTCCCCTAGGAAGAGTCACAAGGGAAGGGGAAGAAAAAGAATAGTTGGCTACACTTGAAAACTACAAATCTCGGCTCCCCCAGCGGTAGACAACTACGCGTCCCAGTCGGTGTCTCTGGCCGGATCTTCGGGGTCCCTTAGGGCTTGTGACCGGGGTTCAGCCAGCCTGGGCACGGGGTAGCCCGAAGCTGCCCGGAGAATCCGCCAGGCTCTGACGTCGTTGCGCGTACGCCACTCACGGGCCGGACGTGACGTAGGGAGAGTTCCGGCTTCGGCCTCCGCCGGTGCCTCCGCTACTCCAACGCCGCCGCCGCCGCTGCCGCGGCTTGTGATTCCTAAAATGGCGCCGCTAGATCTGGACAAGTATGTGGAGATAGCGCGGCTGTGCAAGTACCTGCCGGAGAACGACCTGAAGGTGAGCCCGACCGGAGGGAGACCCACTTGCAGGGCTCGCCCCTTCCGGCTGCGGGGCGTCCGCCGGCCCGCCCTTCCTCTCCGCGGGACCCCTGCCGGGTGTACCGGCGGGTCGCAGTGGAGGGCCCTCCGCGGTGCCTGACGATGCGGTCCACCTTGGCGTCACGCGGAGAGCCGGGGAAGCCGGAGTCCCCCGAATGCTGTCCTGGTTCCCTTGGCTGCGATCCCGAGGGATGTCGCGGCCTCTGCCCCGGGGACGCCTCTTCTGGCCTTCGGACTGTCCCAGCTGCTTTGCTTAAAGGACTCCAGACGCACGCCCGGGTCCGCAGAGTTGGAGGCGAGCCCGGGGGGCGGTGCGCCGGGAGAGGGTCTTCCCCACCAGAGGTGACAGCGGCGCGGGAGGCCGGCATCTGACAGGCGTACCGCCCGTGGGTTCCTGAGGAGTGGGAAGGGGTGGATCGCAGCAGTGTGGCAATGATGTGACAGAATGTTAGGTTGCCTCTTTTAACTTACCACTCTTTCACGTCGCCTTTTTTGAGCGAGTGCGTTCGTACTTCAGCATGAATCCGGTTTCCGAGCACGTTATTGAGCTTATTTCAGTCAGTCGGCAATGAGTCCTTTAAGTTGTCCCCCCCCTCCCACCCAATAACCTCTTAACTCAAGATTTAGTTTTATTGGTTCTCTAAAGGAGGGAACTTACTCCTCGTTACTACCGAGTCCAAGGAAGACAAAGATGCGGGCAAAGGAATGAAAGTAAAGATAGAGGAGTTGTAAGTGGTATACTGTTTTTTTGAAATGTTTCTGTGTTTTGGGTAAAACCAGTGTTTAGGTTCCCTATAGTGTTTATCCGCTAGTGCTAGTGTCTGTTTTGTTCGTTCAGTTAACTTTTGTTTTTGATATATGGTAAATGGGTATACTGTTGATAACTTGAGTTCGTCTTATGCTTATAAGCTATGGATATAAAACAATTTATCTTTCAAGAAAAAAGTTACTTGTCAGTGAATTGTTTCTCTCAAGGAAGATTTTACTGTGTTCTCCCCCTTCCCCCATTCTCCTTTGGTATAGAAGTTTGATATTTAACATCAGTCAACAAGTATGAGAAACGTTAAGGTCCCATATGCTGTTGTGAATGAATGTAACTGAATTGCATTTACGTGTTAACTATATGTGTTAATAGGGAAGTCATTCGTGTGCATTTTTCCATTTTTAATACAATGATTTAACTAAGGAGAAAACTTTTACTAGAAGTAATGCAGCATTCATATTCATCCAAGTTCATCAGTTTGTGGCTTCTGTTTTGTGCTTTCTTAGGAAACAACACAACTAACCATGAAACCTAATTAATGAAAAACTAACCACACCTCTTTTGATGGCATTGTTTTGTTTTTGATGCCATAAGTGCACTCAATCATTGCATGTTAGTGAATTCACTGGAATTTTTTTTCTTTTTAGTATGTAGTATTATAAAGTTGTTTTATGCTTTGTTTATAATTAATGTAAAGTGTTCTTTTTTTTATTATGAAAATGTATCTTCATCCCCCCTACCTCCCAGAACTGGGGATTAAACTCAGGGGTGCTCTAATACTGAGCTAAATCCCCAGCTTTTTTTTTTTTAATTTTATTTAGAGACAGGATCTCAGTGAGTTGCTTAGCATCTTGCTTTTGCTGAGGTTGGCTTTGAACTTGTGATCCTCCTGCCTCAGCCTCCCGAGCCATTCCCAGCTCTTTATATTTTTTATTTTGAGATTGTCTTCCTAAGTTGCTGAGGCTGGCCTTGAATTTATGACCTTCCTGCTCCAGCCTCTTCTGTTGCTGGCATTACAGGCCTATCCCATTGGACCTGGCATGTATTTTGATATTAACTTGACATTGGACCCTGAAACAATTTGAAAAATAATCAGTGAGATTTTTCTGTAGACTTCTCAGTTTGACCAACATTACATTTCCTTCCTACCTTAAGGAAATATAATTATTAAACCATTTTATTTCCTGTTGAAACACAATTGGACTGTATTTAGCTTTTATCTGTTTAATAAACCTTTCTTCCCCCAACCTTTTGTAGCTACTAAGAAAAGAATTCTGGATTTTTCTTTGCAAGTAGAGACATTTCTTCTGTCCTGGAAATGTTTTTATCAGATTAATTTTCTTGTGCTGCTTGGTGTATTTAAAGAAATTTAATTTTGTTTCTGTTTCTTGGCATTAGTGCAAACTAAAAATAGGTAGGCCAAGAAAGTATTGCAGGAGTACCTTTTCTGAGGCTTTAAAGCCAAAATAAAAGATTCTATCAGAGGAAGAAATGTAATTGGGGCCACTTAATGAACATGATGGAAAAGATTTTTTTTCCTGGTAGAAAAGAAGTCAGAAATTTGCTATGTTTTAAATTGATCAGATGTTGGCGGTACTAGGTCAAATAATAAATATATATTTCTAGATCTAATCACAGTTTCTCAATAGCTGAATTGGAAATGGTCAAATCACTAGTACCAAATGGAATCTACCTGCTTTAAAGGAATAAGAATGAAGTATATAAACAAATAGACAGCAGTGTAACCTCTTTTGTAGAGAACTCATTTGATTCTCATCCACAAGAAAGATTTTAGAGAATACCGTAGAAGTTACAGATTTCATACCTGGCAAAGTAAAATAATGAATGATAAAAGGCAGATTTGTTGAATACTTAAACTTAAGAATTTTGTTAGTATTTTTCCCTTTATTTCGGGGGAGTGCTCTGCCATTGAGCTACACCTCAGCCTTAAACCTATGGAGTTTTGGAGGAGAAGTTCTATAACTTGAAAATGTTCTGATCTGTTGGACAGTTCTTAAAGGAGACATGTAAGTAAAGAATTGCATAGTGAACTACTCTTCAGTTTTTAAACAAATTTTTTAGTTGTAGATGGACACATTCCCTTTATTTTGTTTATTTTTATGTGGTGCTGGGATCCAACCCAGTGCCTCATGTATGCTTGGTAAGCACTCTACCACTGAGCCACAACCCTGGCCCTTTTTTTTTCTTTTTTTTTTTAACTGAAAAGCTGAAGACAGTTATTATAGATGAGACTGGGAAAATACTAGAATCTCTCTCAAGGCTGAAACATAAATAATTGTATAATTCCATAGTAACAACTTTTATGCATTACAATGGGATCTTTTTTGGAACTCACTTTGTGTTTAGTCTGAGCCATTTTTCAGTTTTGTTTTTATCTTTGTGTGTGTGTGTGTGTGTGTGTGTGTGTGTTTTTCTTGGAATTCAACCCAGGGGTGTTTTACCACTTAGTGATATACCCAGCCTTTTTTATTTTTAAACATTGCCATCCTCCTGTCAGTCTCTTGAGTAGCTTTTTTTTTTTTAAATTTAAAAAATGTTTTTATCTTTGAGTACATTGACACAGGCCTATAATCCCAGCAACTTGGGAGGCTGAAGCAGGAGGATGACAAATTTGAGGTCAGCCTTGGCTAATTAGTAAGGCTTATCTCAATAAAAACTAAAAAGGGCTGGGTAATCTAGCTCAGTGGTAGATCACCCTTGGGTTCAGTCCCTGGTCGTGAAAAAAACAAATAAAAAATCATTTCCAACTTTTTTTTGTATTGGGGATTGAATTCAGAGGTGCTTTCTCACTGTGCAACATTCCCAGCCCGTTTTTTATGTTTTATTCTGAGAAAGGGTCTTGTTAAGTTGCTTAAGGCCTCACTAAATTGTTGAGGCTGGCTTTGAAATTCTTCCTGCCTTAGCTTCCCCAGCCACTGGGGTTACAGATAAGTGCCACTACACCCAGCTCTGTTCTTTATTTTCTAAACGAACATTGCTTTGCTCCATGGCACTTTACTGCTCCATTTTACCATTTACAGTGTTCTGCCTTGTATGATAGCATGTATGTCTGTTATTTGATGGCAAGATTCTTGAGGAACAGAACCATTTCTTGTGTATTTTCCAGTTTTAGAACATTGACTTGTATATGATAATCAGTAAAGAGTTCAAGTAGAAAAAACAAGAAGGAAAGAACATGTGAGCAGAAAAAAATACCATAAACAATAGTGTGTAGTCCTGAGAGAACGCAGGTTGTTCAGAAATTTGAAGTGGTTTGGTATGGCTGGAGGTGGGGTTGGGAATATAGGTAGAAGCTGAATTATGGAAGACAAAGTTGATGTGCTTGGATTTTTATCTCTTGGGTGGCACATGAACGCATTGCAGTTTTTTTTTCCTGTGTTGGGGATTGAACCCAGGGTCTCATGCATGCTAGGTAAATGCTCTACCTCTACCACTGAGCTACGCCCCAGGCCTGATATGCTTTTTATATTTAATTTAATTTAATTTAGTTTAATTATTTGTTTTTGGTACCAGAGATTGAACTCGGGTACTCGACCATTGAGCTGCATCCCCAACCCTATTTTGTATTTAATTTAGAGACAGGGTCTCACTGAGTTGCTCAGTGCCTTGCCATTACTTAGGTTGTCTTTTTTTTTTTTTATCTTTTTTTTTTTTAAAGAGAGAGAGAATTTTAATATTTATTTTTTAGTTTTCGGCAGACACAACATCTTTGTTTATATGTGGTGCTGAGGATGGAACCCAGGCCGCTCGCATGCCAGGCGAGCGCTCTACCGCTTGAGCCACATCCCCAGCCCCTGAGGTTGTCTTTGAACTTGTGATCCTCCTGCCTCAGCCTCCCAAGCTGCTGGGATTACAGGTGTGTGCCGCCGTGCCCAGCTTTTCATATTTTTGAGAAAACAAATCATACTGTGATTTTGGGATATTGTTAATATGTGGCTAATTAAAAAAAGTAGATTCATTGAAAACTAATATAAGAGTATACTCTTGTGTGTTGTAGGAATATGCAAAAAATCACGAAGGAATCTGAATTGATTTT